GGAGGAGGAGGAGGAGGAGGAGGAGGAGGAGGAGGAGGAGGAGCAAGAGGAGGTGGAGGAGGTCCCGACAGTGGAGGAGGAGGTTCAGAGAATGGAGGAGGAAAAGGAAGAGGAGGGGGAGGAAGAGGAGGAGGAGGAGGAGGAGGAAGAGGAGGAGGTCCCGACGATGGAGGAGGAGGAGGAGGAGAGGAGGAGAAGGTCCCGACGATGGAGGAGGAGGAGGAGGAGGAGGAGGAAGAGGAGGAGGAGGAGGAGGAGGATGACGAAGGGAAGGAAATTCACCTGGCGCCGGCAGGCGATGGCGCGTGGGTTGCGAGCGTTAGGCGTCGGAGCTCGGCAAACTGCAACGCTGAACTCGGCCGACTGGGTAGGGCGAAGTCCGGCGCGAGGTGTGGCTGCAACGCATCCAAATTCGAATTTGAATTTGGCCTGATCCGGACCGTCGATCTCGAAGATTTCACAGCACGGATCGGGCCTTTTTCGTTTTCGGATTCCGAGGCCCTACCGGCCTCAAAAAAAATTCCCTTGCCCCCCCCCCCGCTTCGTCCCTGCCCGTGTCCCACCCTCAAGGTGCGCCCCCCCCCTAGAAGCGCCCCTCACATTTCTCGAACGGCTGGGCGGCGCCAAGTTCCTCTCCAAGCTTGACCTCAAGTCGGGATATCACCAACTCGAGATTTAGCAGGAGGACCGCTACAAGACCGCGTTTAAGACACGATATGGCCATTTTGAATGGCTGCTTATGCCATTTGGCCTTACGAATGCCCCGACCACTTTCCAAGCGGCTATGACAACAGAGTTCCGACACATGCCGGATCGATTCGTACTTATCTACCTCGACCACATCCTGGTGTACAGTCGGAGTTTGGACGAGCATGTGGAACACCTACGCACCGTTTTGGAGCGGCTACGACAAGCCAAGTACAAAGCCAACCGCGACAAATGCGAATTTGCGCGGCAGGAGCTGGAGTACTTGGGACATTATGTGACGCCGCAAGGCATCCGTCCGCTTGCGGACAAGGTTTAGGCCCTCCGCGTATAGCCCGAGCCCACCAACACCACGGACATTCGTTCATTCATGGGGTTGGCGGGTTACTATCAGCGATTCATCACCGGGTACTCAAGGATTGTTGCACCTATGACGAGATTACAATCGCCAAAGGTGCCATTCGTATTCGATGACGACGCACGTCGTACATTCCAAGCACTTAAGACGGTCATGCTCATGCCACTCGTCCTTAGCATCTATGACCCCACCCTGCCTACGCGAGTGACAAATGACACTTCCGGCTATGGCATTGGGGCAGTCTTGGAACAACACGACGGCAACGACGGGCACCCTGTGGAGTATTTCAGCCACAAAGTGCATCCCATCAATTCCCTTGATGATGCAAGGAAAGGAGCTGCTCGCGTTCGTGATGGCTCTCAAGCGATGGCGGCACTTCCTCCTTGGGCGTCGTAGGTTCACATGGGTCACGGACAACAACCCATTGACCTCCTACAAGACGCAGGATACGGTGAGCAGCACGATCGGACGATGGATGTACTTCATCGACCAATTTGACTTCACACTGAAACATCTCCCCGGCCTCTCCAATCGCGCAACAGATACACTCTCGCGAAGACCTGATCTTTGCGCTATGACACATCATGCCTTCGCATTCGACAAGGAACTCCAGCAACATCATCCGGGGCTATGAGTCTGATCCAAACTTCGCCACGTTCATTGCGCAGCTATCTTCGGATCACCCGCCGGCCAGCCACTATCGCATTACCGACGGGTACTTGCTCCTCCACTCGAGAGGCAAGGACTTGTTGTGTGTCCCACGAGACCGTCGTCTTCGGACTCGCCTTCTCGGGGAGTACCATGACTCGCGACTCGCCGGCCATTTCGGAGTCAACCGCACTATTGCACGGCTTCGACAACGATTCTGATGGCCCGACCTCATTACTGATGTCACTCGGTATTGCGACTCTTGCGAAGTTTGCCGACGAAGCAAGCCCCACAACCGCAATCCCTATGGCGAGTTACGCCCGATGCCTATCCCACGGGAACCCGGCCTCTCCGTTGCCATGCATGTCACCGGACCATTTCCCCGCGATCGCCTCGGGCACGACGGCATCCTCACGATTGTGGACCGTTTGAGTAAGTATGCGCGTTTTCTCCCTTGCAAGTACTACTCCACGGCTCCCGAGCTGGCACGCCTCTTGCACACCGGTTGGATTTGCGGCTACGGTGTACCGGAAGACATAGTCAGCGACCGCGACACTCACTTCATTTCAACATTTTGAACTGCTCTCATGCAGGAGTCCGGCACGAAGATGAAACCAAGTTCCGCTCGGCATCCACAGACGGACGGGCAAACGGAGCGGGCACATCAAACCACTCACATGATGCTTAGTACACTCATCCGTCCGGACCAGAAAGATTGGGTTGACCGCCTCCCCGACATCGAGTTCACCTACAACACTTCGGTGCACCCGGCGATCGGCGCGACTCCATTCGAGTTGCACCACGGTGGACGGAAAGGCCGTATCTTCGCCGACCTTCTCCTCCCACGACCAGCCGACATCGACGCCGCTTGCTCTSCCGCTTCCATCCGGAAGTACAGGGAATTGCTGGCTCAAGCCCGCGCGAATATGCAAAAGGCTCAAGTCTGCATGCAGCAGCAAGCCAACAGGCGTCGCGTGCCATGTCCCATCCGCGCCGGTGATCTGGTTTGGGTCTCCKCGGAAGAGTTTGCATTGGAACAGGATGTTTCACGCAAACTGCTTCCCAAGTGGTTTGGACCATGGCCCGTAACATCAGCCGCGGGCGATGAGCCCGATGGCCCTTCATTTGTGATCAACATCCCCCCGCATCTGATGGTCCATCCAGTCTTTCATGCCTCGAAGCTGGCAACATATACACCAGCTAAGAGCGACGACTTCCCTGGCCGACGATCGCAGGACCCTCCATCTATGGATGGTCATCAGGAAGTTGACCGCGTCATCACGGATCGCAAGTACGGCAGTAAGCCTCGACAGTACAAAGTTACATTCAAAGCATGCGATCCCGACGACACTCGGTGGATTTCAGGAACAGATTTGAAAGCATCCGCACCGCTGATCTACGCTCACTACGATAGCTCAGGGACCTTCACGACCTGCCCCTCCCACCCGGACTGTGGTCCCTCCCTCAGACAGACAGCTTCGCCCTCGCAGGTAAGCTCGGTCTTTCAAGGAGGGGGGGGTGTGGCATACTGCGTAGCCACACGGGCCTGCAGGGCCTGTCCCGCATTCTCAGCCTAAAAGCCTAGAAATAAGGGCTTACAGGCCCCTATCGTTTCAGCCTGAAAACTGGAAACGAGGGCCTGCAGGCCCTATTTCGTTTTCAGCCTAAAACAGGGCTTTTCAGCCTGAAACCGAGGGCCACTTTCGGGCCCTCATAAGATCGACCTACCCTAACACTCAGGCACAAAACCAGGGTTTCGGGAACAGGCTATTTCTGGCCTGTTCCCACGACAGCCTCAAGCAGGAGCTGCAGCGGCGGCCCCTGACTCCCTTTCACATTGGCAAGAGCAGCCTCCTGGACTGCCTCGCCCTGCAGTCAGGAGGCAGGCCGAGAAGTACATAGGGAGTTCCCATGCACTTCACAGGGAGGTGTTGGACAGAAGGCAGGAGTAGTCTTCAGGATTCGGCCGCAGCACTCAGGAGGAGCGCTGCAGGAGTAGCTTAGCGCCAGCAGTAGTCTTCAACGCTGGGCACTAGTAGCCATAGCAGTAGTCTTCAGCGCTGGGCGCTAGTAGGTGGTAGGAGTAGTGGTTGGGGAGAGATGGCTGGCGGAGGCCAGTGATACTTACCTGTGGCGCCATAGCTCCAGCTCCATCTTCGAGGTACCTGCATCAAGGCGCCAACTTCACAGGTTAGTACCGGACTGAGAGAGAGAGAGAGAGAGAGTTCTTCTTCTTCCTCTTCTAAGTCCACCATCTCTTCTTCCCCTCTCACCACCTGACGTCTCAGTATCAGCGGACTACTAGAGAGAGAGAGAGTTGTGACTTGAGACTTGACGACATTGGATCCAGACTCGACATTGGGATTCAGACATTTCGACGAGGGACTATTTGGGCCTGTGCCGAAGACTTGGTGTTGACGACATTCCCATCTTCCCCTCTTCTTCGTCTAACCCCCCTCTTCTTCGTCTGTGTATGGTTGGGGCCGGCGCATTCTTCCTGTGTGAGTGCCAGACCCCTTCACACCATGGAGTGATGATGATGATGTATGTTCGGGGCTGCATTGAAATATTGATTGTTTGGATCATTGGTATCTAAGTTTTCCGCTGCGCTATCTTGTACTTTGTTAGAGAGGTCGGTTCTTGTTCTGGTCTGCACCTTTACAGTATGCAACAGTTAAACAGTTAGTCGTATGGGAACAGCAAGGGGAAGCATTGTTGCTTGTCCATTGTTGATAAGCATGGCCATAGCCACGGATCGCTTTTCAGTCTACATAATTATTTTGCAAGCTCTTTGTTGCGTTGTGCCTTGGGCTGCTGGGTGCACCAGTGTACATTGTGCAGTTCCATTAAGATTTCAGCCGTTTATGGAATTTGTGGAAAGACCAGTCATGTGTGCAAGTGTGTCTCAACTTTTAATAAAGTGTTTGAGCGAGAATATTGAATGAGTTGAACAAACTCTTACAAGATTTCTGATCAGTTTTGATTGGTCATGAGTTCAACAAGCTGGTGCAGTAGCTGGTGCAGTACTCCAACAAGCCTGGCCATGCTTTCCCAGTCATGACACTAGTGATTTTTATACGTAAGGCCCAGTGTGGGGGATAAAGAATTAGTGTGGCAGTCGCTGTGCAAGCACAAATGTAAGCACACAATCAACAGTAGGCATCACTGTTCCTACCTTCCAAACCATTTCATTTGCATTCAATTAGATCAACAAAATCTCTTGAAACCAGCTGCTCTCAGACAACCTGCAGCAAACTTAAAAACTTGCCAACTTTTCAAGAAGATGCACCCACCAGCTTATGCTCCAGCAGGAATGCCAAATGTGCAACAAGATTCCTTTCCTCCAGAGCAACTCGTTTTGCACCACCTTGGTAGACAAACCGCAGAAAAGAGATTCCCGTGCCACCTCTCAAGAAAGTCCCTTCTGTCGCTTCATGAAGGCTTTCAAAGAGCTCCGCCCGACAATCAGTGGACAGGGGTTCCTTCCCTGTGGCCATACTCTATAATTCAAAAGTTCAGAAACAAGAGCCACAAGAGAAGCCATGTGATGCATGCCCGGAATAAACCGTCATCAATGCAAGTCCAAAGATCACCAATATGCGAAAGAGATTAAACATGAAAGTGGAAGACTCAAATCACATTGGACTGACTGATGATGCAGCAGAAACGACAATGTGACACAAATCCAACCTCACACCAAGGAGGGGTCCAAACATAGATGAGACCTCCCACTGCAATCACACATAGAGGAAGCATCCGGAAGGAAAGGAAGGAATGGAATGAATGGAAGAATAAAGGAAGGAGGAGGAGGAGCAGAAGTAGGAGAAGGGGAAGCAGGAGGAGGAGGAGAGGCAGACGACGACGACGACGACGACGACGACGAAGAAGAAGAAGAAGAAGAAGAAGAAGAAGAAGAAGAAGAAGAAGGAGGAGGAGGAGGAGGAGGAGGAGGAGGAGGAGGAGGAAGAAGAAGAAGAAGAAGAAAAAGAAGAAGAAGAAGAAGCAGAAGCACAAGCACAAGCACAAGCACAAGCAGAAGCAGAAGCAGGATGAGGAGGAGGAGGAGGAAGCGGAAGAAGAAAGGAGGAAGAGGAAGAAGGAGAAGAAGGAGAAGAAGAAGAAGAAGAAGATGAAGATGTCAGATCAGTACCGGTACTCACAGGCTCGGGGCATGATGGGATGGTGTTTTCAACACTGGGCTATCATTGGAGGCTGGGGGTCGTAGTGCAATCAGACTCACTTTCTTTCCACTTCGCACACATGCAAACAGATGGAGACTCACACTGGCGCAGGGCGCCCACTAAAAGCTTAGAGATATGGAAATCAAGAACACAGTTCTGATGCAAGTTCTCTTCAACAATCTATGGCGCATCAGCGCCTGAACATCCCAACCTTCGTCACTGTGTCCAACCCCACTGTTCACACACGGTCACTCTGGATCACCCTGAATACCACCACACACATACACTATGTCTAACTTCCTCCTACAGCGGCTATGGCCGCACCACCACTACTGACTATGGCTACGATCTCCCTTCAGCCCGCTTCGTCTTCGGGCAACCTGCAGACCAACTTCGCACAAGATGCTGTAGCAGCGCTTCCACATGGCTTACGCAGCGAATGAATGAATGGCTGGGCGCTGCCTCTTGATTTATACTTCTGTAACTCGTTGGTCTGCCCCTTTCCCAGGCCCTTGGTGCACACAGTCCCACACGGTACTTGCTTGACTGGACTCTGACAGACTGGACCGGTGCCGCTGACTGCATGGGTTTGCACTGCCAACTCGATGCAGTCGCAGTGCCGACGTAACACAGTTGGCTCACCACTTGCCCACTTGCCTCTGACTAAACGTGAGACACTTCGAAAAGTCACTTCCGGACCTTCCGGACGGCTGTGGACTTGGCCTTTCAGGTACTGTAGCAGCTACAACCTTGACCTTTCGGGACTGTAGCAGCTACGACCTTGACCTTTCAGAGCATCTACAGCCACGACCTCTACAGAGCTCTGACTCCTAATCGACAGACCTACAGATCAAACCCCTACCGCTACACGGACCTACGACAGACGACAAACAGCTACCAAAACACAGATCATGGGTTCAAACACTCAGGGGTCGACTCGATACTGTACATGGGAAAAGTGAGGTCTGGGGACTGAACTCTAGGGCACGCATCCGTGACTGCCGAAAGGTGAAAACCGTTTCACTCCCACCGGCCTAAATTCGAGGTCCTCCGAGAATACTTCAGTCTAAGGCGGGGCCTTTTCCTTTCCTGTCTCTTTCATAGGCTCGAACTGTGTCGGGAGCTGTCTCTAGAAGTTCTGTTCGCGTGAACCAGCGGTCGTCTTCTGGCTCTTGATAGGCAAATCGGACTTTGTACTGTTTCTGTGGACGACCTCTACCTCCTGTCCTGAAGACATCCTCACCTACTATCCTTTCAATGTCATATCTTCCATCCACATCCGGAGGAATCATATATCTGCGTGAAGGGAACTGTTGACTTGTGACGCAAGGCAACAGCTTTGACGCATGGAACACTGGGTAGGTGTGGAAGTGTGCTGGAATCTCAATAGTGTAGGATGGTCCATCTTCTCTGTCCTTGACCCACGGGCCTCTATACGCAGGCAGCAATTTCTGTGAGATGTTCTCCTCAGGAGCGAACTCTTTTGACTTGACCCAGACTAAGTCGCCTACTTGAAGCTGTGAGGGGCGACGATGCTTATTAGCTTGCTCTATCATTCTATGTCGGGCTTTCCTGAGGTTATCTACAACGATAGCTATTTCTTTTCCGTGTTCTATCGCAAACTCTCGTGTACCGGGCGGTAGCCTCTGAATCTGATCCCGATTAAGTCCTTCAAATGGTCTGCGCGGTCTAAAGGAATTGTGCAGTTCATTGGGAGTGCGACACGTAGATAAGTGCACGCTATTATTGTAGGCACTGGCTACCTTTGGGAGCATCTCATCCCAGTTGACCTGATTGGGCCTAATATACATTCTAAGAACTTGCTGCAGGAGCTTGTTCATCTGTTCAGTCTGGCCGTTAGTCTCAGGATGACGACCAGATGACATCAGCAACTTTGAGCCATAAACTTTCATCAGCTCCTGCCAGTTCTGACTAGTGAATCTGGTATCCCTGTCACTAACTATCGACAGCGGTATACCATGCTCACTGACCCGATGGTAAAAAAACTTTTGAACTACTAAGTTTGTGCGTGCCTCTGCAGGCAAAAGAACAAAAACTGCATACTTGCTAAATCTATCTACTATTACCATGACTTGACTTTTGCCATGCCTACTCTTGACCTGAGTATCCATAAGGTCGATGGACACAGAATCTCAGGGTCTGTCAGGAATAGGCAAGGGTCTGAGAAGACCGAGAGGGGCACACGTAGTAGTCTTGTTTCGCTGACAGACTTTGCAACTGCGGACATACTCTATGCAGTTGGCCTTCATACCAGGTCAAATGTACGCGCACATGAGGTTGGCTAGTGTCTTTTGCCAACCAAAGTGTCCCTCTGTATCATGGCATTCCCCTAAGATCAAACTTCGGATCTCTTCACTGTTGGGAAAGCACAGGTGGTCAATTACATTCATCTTCTCGAATAAAGCCATCAGTAGTGCGGTAGTTTGACTCAGATTCTGAGGCCTCCGTAACTCTTTTGAGGAGATCACTATAGATAGGGTCTTGTGCATATGCCTCTCTAACTTTCTGCTACAGGTCTCTCCCTATATCTAGATAGTGAACTATTGCCCCAAAGTAATCAGCTCTTTACTCAGAGCGTCCGCTACTGCATTGTACTTCCCTTTAACTGGCTTCAGTTCAAAGTCATACTGGTCTAACTCTGCGGCCCACCTAGTAAGCTTAGGTGTCATCTTGGCCTGAGTCTTCAACCACCTTAGAGTGTCGTGGTCTGAATAGACTTTGAAGTGCCTCCCAAGCAAGTAATGCTTCCAGTGATCTAATGCTTGCCTGAGAGCATAGAGTTCTCTTTCATAAGTGGATGTCGCCACCTTTTCTGAAGGCATCATGGCGGACATGAACTCTACGGGCCTATATCCATTGCCATCATCTTGCTGTAAAACAACGCCTATGCCATACTGACAGGCGTCAGTGGTAAGAACAAACGGCAGGGACGGATCGGCTACCGTAAAGACTGGATATTCTATCAGGGCCCGCTTCAATCTCTTCAGGGTAGTTGTGCAGTCATTGTCCCACTTCCAAATTGCCTCTTACTTTAGCAACCTGCGAAGGGGTGCAGCGATGGTGGAGAAGTTCCTGACGAACTTCCTATAGTAATTAGCTAGGACTAAGAACGACAGCAACTCTGTCAGTGTGCGGGGCGTTGGCCAATCTCTAATCGCTGCGATTTTGTTGTCTTCAGGTCTAATGCCGTCTCCGTCTAAGACGTGGCCCAGGTACAAAACCCGTGTCTTGGCCCACTCGCACTTCTTTGCGTTGATCTTGAAGTTAGCCTCTCTAAGCTTCTCCAAGACCTGCCTCAGATGACCCTCATGCTCCTAGAAGGTCTTAATGAACACTATAATATCATCTAGATATACTACAACAAATTTATCTAACCACGGCCTAAACAAATCGTTCATGCAGCGCTGGAAAGTCGTTGGCGCATTGGTTAGTCCAAAGGGCATAACTATAAACTCATAATGCCCATATCTAGTCCGGAATGTTGTCTTGTACTGATCATCAGGATGAACCTCTAGCTGATGATAGCCGGACTTTAAATCTATCTTCGAAAAATACTTGCAGCCCTGCACCCGGTCTAACAAATCGTCTATACAGGGCAGTGGTTCTGCATGCTTCACTGTGATAGCATTAAGACCCCTATAGTCTATACACATTCTAAGCTTCCCCTCTTTCTTGGAGACAAAGAGAACAAGTGCTCCAAATGGGACGAACTGGGCCTAATCCAACCCTTCTTAAGGAGCTCGTCTAACTGCTTACGTAGCTCCTCTAACTCCCTTGGGGACATTTTGTAAATCGCTCCCTTAGGAGTCCTACTGCCAGGCTCCTTCTCTATGCGATGCTGGATCGGTCGCGGCACTACTCCTGTAGGCGGCTTAACTAGGTTTGTATATTCTTCCAGCAGCTTGGCAATAGCAGGGTCTATGGGTGTCTCCTCCTTAGGCCCAGTGACTGGCCTTACGTAGACTACAAAAACCTGCTCTTCTAACTGCTCCTTCTTTACTAATTGCGCGAACGCGGGAGCACTGAGGCAGCAATGTGCCATGGTCTACTCCGGATACATGGAACAGGCGAGCAGTCTTAACTTCACATGTGGGACTAGGGAGCCTACACTCGTGCTCTCTCAAATGGAGTGTGGCCCCTGCTGCCTCTCCCCAGTCCATTCCTAGGACTATATCAAAAGGAAGACTGTCTTCTACGAGGAGAGTCAGGGAATGGAAAACTTTTTCCACCTTCCCATCTTTCTCTAGGCGAAAGTAC